TGAGCGGCCAGCGACGGATTTCAAAGTCACGGACAAACTGGGAAGCCGCGGAAATGTAAATGTTTATTAGCGTGACTACATGGGCTGCAAAACGATTAAGACTGTTTTCTGAAACCACCACTGTCGCATAATTGCAACAATCCCCAAAGCAAGGGGGGATGGGGTATAAATCACCCGGGGAAGAAAAGAAATCTCTAGCTCTTCTTTGAAACCAAATAAAAAGGGAGTTGCTTAAGAAATCCTTTTCTTGCAAAGGCATCTCCTGGATTCCAAAAACTTGGAAAGAGTCAGTCCCGGAAATGTGGAAAGTGCTAAAAGAAGCTAAAGCTGCAGCCCAGCAGCAACAGTTTCTCGGGAGCCACGGACCCCAAGAAGCCATAACGAAAAATTACTCCGGTTAAAACAAGCAAATGCATTGCCACACTTGTGACTTACCCCAAGTATAGACGTGGCCATAGCAGGTCTCTGGGCTGCGCGGCGGGGCCGGGAATGGGGCTGAGCCTGGCTGCTGCTCGGAAAAACTGCTCGAGTCCCGCGCGGTTCCCGCGTCCCCGCGCTCGCGCCGAGCGGACTCCGGGCTCCCGCCGGCTAAACTCAGCCTAAGTGCGAGGAGCACCCGCTTTGAAGTGCCGCTGGCTGCGCCTCTCGCCCAATGAGGGCTCAGGCAGAGCAGACGGGAGCTGCCCCACAGCCAATCAGACGCGCCGAGGGGCCCGAGCCCGGGCTCCTGGCGCGTGCCAGTCAAGTCAGCTAGGGAGGGAGCAGGGGAGGGGGTGTCGAAGGGGAAGGGAGGGCGCTGGCTGGGGACTGAAGAAATTACAGTGCAATTAAAAATTTACACACACACCCCAAGCCAGGTTTAAGTACCGTTGAGACAGAGCCACAAGCTCCCCCCCACAACCCATCCCGAGATGTTGCAAGTTGGAGCTGACAGTCCCACTCCACTCCCGGCTTGCGGGAAAGGAGGCAGGAGGGGAGGCGGCGCCGAGGTAGAGGCCACACCAGCAGGGCTCAAGTGGAGACAGAAAATGTCAACTCTCATTTCGTGTGTCCATGCTCTTACTTACGAAGCACAACTTGAGCTTTTATCCATCATTCACGCTTGCAATTTTATTACTGTCGTTTGTCTTCTACCCAGTTCCTTATTCCACTGATTCAGTTTTACACTCACAGTCACATTGAGGAGGGGGCGCGAAGGGACAGCTTCTCAGACAGGAGTGAAATAGGCCTCTCCATACAGGTCTACACCCATAGACTTGTTGGGAGGGCCTGGCTAAATCCCACCATTTCCCCCCAGAGGTCTAAGTGACTCCCTAATTGTCGCTCTGGCCTCTGACTCGGGGGGGGGGGGGGAGTAATACGAGTGTCACTCACGCCAGAAGCTTCTAGTGGTAATTGAGGGCACCCTTTGTACGGTTTCGCCAGCGCCTAGATACCAGGTTAACCCAGTTGTCAAATATGACTAAACAGTGGGATGTACTGATTATCTGCCGGGTTTTGCTGGGGGCTGGTGTGGGGGTGGGAGGCATCAGCCCATACAACACGCTGCACGAAGCCGCTTATTTTCACATTGTAACAACTTCGGAAACAGAGACCTGCGCGAGCGGCGTCCGCCCCCACAGCCACCTCCGCTGAAGCTGCAGCTTGCTCGGCTGTTTGTTTAACCCGGTGAAGATTTGCATGTCGCGTTTTAGCTTGGAGTAGAGTTTTCTTGCCCCAGCTCCAACCCACTCCCATTCCAGACCTCGAGGGCCTAGAGAGGCTCCTCTGCGGGACAAGGGTGCAGTGTTAAGAGGCGGGCTCCCTTAGCGCCCTGCTTTCGTGGACGTGCCGGAGGAGCCTCTCCTGGACCTTCACCGGCGCGTGCGGAAGAGCAGGCCACACGTGGGCGCCTCTACATCTTGCAGGCTGGAAGCATCCTTAAGTCCTCTCTGGACCTTGTCAGTGTGAAAAGAGGTGTCCTCAGACAGACAAGGGTGCGTCCAGGAGTCCCACAGCAAACGCTGAGCTGTTTTTCTTCTTTCTGGGCCCTGCTTTCTCTTTCTTCTCCAGGTTAGCCAGAGGCGTTTGAACCAGAAATACCAGCGCTCTAGGGCCTACTTGGCTGCTGGTTTTAATGTAGCACATTCCCTTCCAAACCAACATCCTGTTTCTTAAAAAAAAAAAATTTTTTTAAACTACCAACCTCAAATACCCAAATGCTCGGGTGCAAAAGATGAGTTGTTGCGGAGGGGGTGCGGAGTGAGGAGGACGTGGAACTGTGCCCCCCTCTTTTGCAAGATCTGTTGACCCAAAAGATCAGCAGTGCAACAACCATGGCACTTCTTTCGCCCCTAAGATGGAGCCTGCGTGCATCTTGGCGCACTCCGTGGGTGGGGAGGGCTTTGTGGGTCGCTTTCTTTGCTTTTTGTTGGAATACTTCTGCTCATAATGCTTTTTTGTTTTGTTTTGCTTAAGGTGGCGAACGCACCAAGGAAATTATGACGGAGAAAGAAAAAGAAAAGAGAGCGAGAAGACCTGCACAGCTATAAATGAAGCGCTGTGCCCTGGGGGACTGTAGTGGAAAAAGGGGGGGTGAAGAGCCCTTGGGGGACGCAGGGTGAGGGGTTGAAGGGGAAATCAGGCGGCCTGGAAGAGCCCAAGAGCCCAGCAGAGGGACTTGGGAGCCATTCCCAACAGGTGACTTCTGCCCTGGAAGGCGAGACTGGTCCTCGGCTTCCTATGGAGCCTCCGCGTCGATTTACTAATAGAGGGATTGTTAAGTGGCAGCGAGGCGTTTCGGACTCACCCTGTGCAGCCCGGGGAGGAGAAGCGCCGAGGTTTCCCTCGTCCAACTCCTGCCCCACCCCCAACTCCTCCCCCACCCCCAACACACCCTCTCCTTAAGGAAACCTGACAAAGTAATAAATAAGACAATCTGAAAAGCCGCTTAGCACTGGTGACATTTTCAAGCCAACCATTAAAACAGTTCTCGAGACACCTCGGGCGCCGGGCGCCCTGCTTGCCTTCCTCTTTTCCTTCCCCTCCCATCTCCTCCCCCTTCAGTTTTCCACGTAGTTCCAGCTGTCAGACTCTCGACGTGGGCACTCGGATATTCCTTTAGATACACGCGTCCGGATCACAATAAAAGTTAGGGAAATCTTCCAAACGAACGCAGGCAAACACCCGGGCCACTTCAACTCTAACGTGGGGCCCCAAGGAAATCTTTAGAAGGAAGTCCAGTTTTGTTTTGTTTTTTTTTTGCCTGACAGATTTTTTTCATCTTATGAAAAATCTAGTTTTTAAACAAAGATCAATGTGTTATGCTAAAGTGTTGAGCTGACTGTTAAAACATTTGGGGAAATAATGACAATGTAACAAAGGCCTGGTTTGGAGTGAATCATCACCCTTTTAAAAGTTAAAGCAATTTTCAGGAGAATAGCTTTCAGCAAACGCTTTACATTATTCAAAACGGCCAAATAATGCTCTATTATAGCGCCTGAATGCTGCCAGTCAGCCCCTAAGTGCAATTTGTGCAAAGGCCCCGGTGCCTTATCTCCACTTCTTTATAAAGAGGTGAATATAAAACAATTTCTTCCAAACCCAGACAGAGAGCACGAAAATTGCTTCCCTTTCTGCAATCAGGGCAATTTAACTGGAGTGCAATTAGCACTATTAAATGTCGATTCTGCATAAACAAATCTGACTGAGCAGCGAAAGTGGGGTGAGAACCTCATATACACTGAAACTGATTTTTTAAAATTATGTATCCGGGTCCTTTACAATTGATCCGTGACGTTTTCGTCTTGGAATATATTTACATCGTAAATACACTATGGTTAAATCAACATAATTTTTTGCAAAAAAAATTCAATACGAATCCTAATAAAGAAGAATAGGGTAATTAAAGGGAAGAGTTCACTTCCTTTGAACAAATATTGTTTCTCCCATCTTGCCTCTCCCGAGAGCTTTGATCTGAGCAACTGCTCAAGTTGCTGTGTTTAGAAGGCAAAGCCGGAGAAACAATTCAGTCATTAGCGCTGATCGGAAGGATGGGAGCTCTCCTACGCCACAGATAAAATGCTTCTCCCTGATGCAGTGGAAGCAGGGTGGTGAACGGGAGGACCCGTTATTTTCTGAATAACTCGATATAGTAGCTGGTTAAATATTAGGTGGCTGCCCAGTCTCCCGGGAGCTTTGACCACGCATAGAGTTTAGCAGAGGATATATTCCACCGGGGTGGGGTGAGGTGGAGTTGGGGAGACACGAGAATGTGGGCGGGAGGAGAGGCGTTGGGGGAGGAGAAACCGAAGGTTCTAGCCTTGGCTGTAGTCAAAGCCTGGGCCACCAGGACAGGGAGGCAGGAGCAGGAGGCTGAGGTTGCCACATAAAAGGCAGGACAC